TATCAGAGTCATATGCAAAATGGGTCAAAATGGCTCAAAAAGAGTCCAATCTACATTTATAAAAATACTAAGAGTATCAGAGCCGACACAGTATACTCTGTTATATCCATGGTAGTGTTTATGTCTATAGACGACAGTTACTACTGCATCAGGTCAGCCGTCAGCTTATTCTCCATTCTAAGTTGTATAAAAAAAGAATATTCGAGTTTTATAAAAAATAATACTTTATAAAAATGCTTGGGTACCTCTGTCCTATTCGTGTTTCAACCGTGAAGCAGTTGTGTTTGTATAGCTGTGTTTCCGTGAATTTACTGGGTACAGAGGAATAACACCTGAGTCCTCAGGAATGGCAACGCATGGGGGGTATCATGGGCGAAACAGTATACTCTGTTATATCCATGGTACTGCTCATGTCTATAGGTGACGGTTACCACTTTCCATCAGGTGGGCCGTCAGCTTGTTTGCCATTCTAAGTTGTATATAAAAAAAAATTTTATTTAACCTACCAAGCGCGGTCAAATGACTGTTTTTGAAATTTAGTTTATAAATTTTCATGTATAACGTTACTGTATCACCATGTAACTCATTGACTTTTCCTATAATATACATACAACCCATATTTAAATATTTACAACTTACTATAATTATTTACTCGTTTACTATCCAATTGACTAAAATCTTTCTATATTAAAATATATACTTTATTTTAAAGCGGTCATAAGACCGCTCATGGTAGGTTTTTTTTTTGTTGGATGAAAATAGAATGGTAACCCCACCTGCGCTAACGGGATACGCTGGCGGAGCACCAGTGAAGGGTGATAGATGAGAATGAAAACAGGCCGGTTAGCCCATCATGATGAATTCATCAGGAATTAACCATGATAGTTTCCAGAGGGAACCGCGTGGAGATCGAACTGGTTAGGTATATTGCCAGCAATGGGATTTTTAGTCTCCATTACTAACAATCCCTTTTCCCCCCGCTCATGGTAGGATTAGGTATATATGAAATGTCAGTAGGTTTACTGTTAAAAATATGGAAAGATTTGGTGTAAAAATAACGACCATTGGTATATTTTTGATCGAATGAGTTAGCAATCAAGCCTCTTGTGACTTTCCGCTTTTCTTCAACACTCAATGAATGCACAGATTCGACTCGCCATCTATTTTTATCCGCGTCATTGTACACTCGATTAGGTTATCGATTCAAAGGCACTCCGGCCACTGGGGCACGGGTCGACGACGAGCTATTTGCCTCGTATTTACTTATGTCGCTTGATAATGAGACATCTGAGGGTCTACCATTAAATGTTTTCCGAAATTTCGGAGCCGAAAGAAACAGAAATTTAATGTTAAAATTACATAATACATGGCGTTTAAAATTATTAAAAGTGTTAAAATATCGTTCCTCTGGACTATTAGGACAGGATTTATGATAAACGAAATGTTAAGCTACATTTGCTGGATCGATATCGGTACGAACAAAAACACGAAATTGAGCCCGAAAATTCGGAATTTCATTTCATGGTAGACCACCTGTTCTCTGCTATATCGACCGTGATAAGTCCTACTTATTAGTCCAAATTCATCATCGTCATCCCCCTACCCTTATCCCAATTATTATTTGGATCGGAGTAATATTATCCATATTACTAAAGGATTTGACTTATAGTGTGTTTCAACCGTGAAGCAGTTGTGTTTGCATGGCTGTGTTTCGGTTTGAAGGGTGGGATATGGCAGTGAATTTACTGGGTACAGAGGAATAACATCTGAGTCCTAAGGAATGGCAACGCATGAGGGGTATCATGGACGAAACAGTATACTCTGTTATGTCCATGGTACTGCTTATGTCTATAGGCAACGGTTACCACTTTCCATCAAGTGGGTCGTCAGCTTGTTTGCCATTCTAAGTGGTATAAAAAAAAAATTTACGACCAGCCACCTGTCTGACGTCAGACTTCTTTGGGATTTTGGTTACTTCAAATTATGAATCTAAAAATGTGATTATTATAATTATCAGCCTTTAAAATATTTTAAATACGGAAAACAAAGAGTTTTAAGAGGGAGCTGCCAATCTACAATCAGCCATCAAGTCTCTTTGACATGTCCATATTTTTATGTATTTTGATTATTTGCATGTACTTAATTGTTATTTACTACATCCATATGCTTTCTTTATATAATTTTATAATTTAACACTGTTTGCCGACTGCTTTAACCATGCTGTGTGTACACCTGTCTGGGTCTCAATCTAGTTCAAACTATTGTCTTTATATAAATGTTTATAATATTATTGATTGTAACCTGTCGTGTATACTTTAATAAATTAAACGAGCAAGCATCTTACGACATCAATCTCGAATGGACCACTCGAAATCTCTCAATTACACCGATTGTCAACCGATATCGATTTCACATCACCCGTATTCGATACTGGGAACTAGTACTCGATTGAGATGTGTTATTTACACGCCAATGTAAGCCCGTCTGTGTCGTAACAATGCAATTTCTGCTAATAGTGTTGATGCATTCAAGTGTAATGTATATATATATGTAGTGTAATTATATATCGCCGTGTGGTCCCGGCATAGCATTCATCGGGATGGTCCATTTTATGCCGGGACCACTATTCCTTTCCCGTGAGTGTCGTAAGAGGCGACTAAGGGAGACCAGGAGGTAAACAGAAAATTAAGTAGGCGGTGTGTTTACTACTAAAATATGTATAAATGTTGTTACTGTATATATATATATATATATATATATATATATATATATATATATATACCTACATACACAAATACATATAATAATTAAATAAGGCAAAAAATGCCTACGATTGAAGCAAAAAGTAAAATTAAAAATCAAAAGAAAGAAATAAAGAAAACAAAGAAAGTTATTAGAAAAAAAAATGTGTTACAAGTTTTTTTAATTAATGCATTTTTTTTGTATTTGTAACCCAAGAATGTTAGTTAAGTCAGCACTCCGAGGTGGAACTAAGTGCAGCGAATGAATTTATTTCCTTGTCACAACAGGAAATATAGCTTCGAAAGTGGTGAACGCGAACGCTTATTGGGTTTCGGGAATTAGCAATAAACCTTTAGCTTCAAGTGCGGCCCAAGGTAGAAGCAGTAGAAATCTGTTTTATCCATGACATGTATTACTTAATGTTTAAGAAAGTTAAATCTCTATAAATATTGATTATACATAAACTATATATAAATACGGATTATGCTCAGAGGTATTATTCAATATGATGCCTACGGCCACATTCTATCATCGTACGGCTCGCCATCGACAGGGAGTTCACCCTCATAGCCTATAGCCTAAATAGTCGCGTACAACGCCGTTTTAGAGATATTTTCTCCCACGAACACTCAGGTTATGGAATGAGCTCCCTGCCGAGGTTTTCCCAAGAGACTACAGCATGAGGTAAAGAGGGTAAAGAGATTTCTATAGGGTCGGCAACGCACGCGTAATGCCTCTGGTATTGCAGGCATTCATAGGCTACGGTAACCGCTTATCGTCAGATGGGCCGTATGCTTGTTTGTCAGTAGCATAAAAAAAACGTTGTATTCTACCGAATTATCTGACTTAAAACGAACAGATAAAATGTAACGTAATTACTGTATGGAGAACTCCTGAACCACCTGGACAATCCCTATCGATCGCTTACCTTACATACCTTACATATTTAGTGTGGTTTTTATGAATGGACTAAAATAGCTCGGCGCCATTGCGATATTCACGTGGCGTGGCTTCCTGAAACCTGGTACATCCTAAGCATATTCTATCTGCAGTCAATCATTTTATGACCTACAAACTTCTTTAATGGGATCTAAAATCCGGGCCTAGCTTAGCTTAGGTCTCAAATTTCTCCTTTCGTTTCCACGTGTGTTAAAATAATTGCTTAAAAAAAATACGTGTGTTAAAGTAGTTGCTAAAATCAGCCAATTTTTTTTTAACACTAAAACTATTGGATAATTTAGATTAGCCAGACAAGAATCTCACTAGAAGGCAAGAGCCTTATGTAAAGAAATGAAATGAGTCTATTTACATTAAAAAATGTTAAAATTATTATTAAGTCTACGTAGTACTTAGTCTGGCACCTGTTTAATTGCCTTAAGCGAGCATGCAAATATTTAAATTGTATATCATCTTAAAAATACTTGACTTTTAGAGTTCAACCCTGAGTAAGTAAGGTACGAATCTTGCTAGTTTAAATACGCTAATAGTTTAAATATATAATAATTTTAATTGCTTACTTTTAACTTACTGATAACGACCTACCCAATGGAAAAGACGATCTACACAGACTAATATATATTATATATATATATATATATATATATATATATATATATATATATATATATATATATATATATATATATATATATATATATATATATATATATATATATATATATATATATATCTTGCGACCTACAATGAGGTAGTCAGAGATAATACTTAACAAATGGGTACATTCGTGAAATGTTACTATTGTGAATGTAATTCACAATACGACAAGCATATTAGAAGCCACGTTTACCGCCATCAATAAAATAAATTTGTCATATATATACTACCGCCTCTCATGAAAAAAAGAAGCGTTGCAAATGTTTTTTAAAAAGGAATATTCATTTCTTATCATGTTGTTTTTCGGAAAATTTGTAAAATTTGATTCCAAAGAGTGGTTGTGTGTGGAAGAAAGCGCCTTGAAAAACGCACGGTGGGGGACCGCCACTCGTCCAGATAGTTGGAATAATTGTTGTTTACGAAAACAAATACATTTTATACACTTTGATTGCTGAATATAAGTATTTAATTATGTTCTACCAACATAAATTTGTAGACGAAATCATGATGAAAATGAATCAAAGTATAAAAAAGTTGTGTTGATAAAAGGTGAAGGCAAAAAGTTTGTATAAAAGTATTGGAGGAGAAGCATGTATAAGTATAAAAAAAGGTAAATATATAATTTAGAAATTAGACTATGCGAAATGAAGCGCGCGGTGCGAGGCGAGACGCTGCAGAGCAAAGCGCCATACATCCCTCGAAGAAGACTTCTGATTGACATTGAAACTATTGTCGGAAACTACAAAACACATTAGTAATAATAATAATAATAATAATAATAATAATAATAATAAGTACGAATTTTACTACTTTAACAAATATCCAGACTGAAACAATCTCACATTCGCAACTACCAACATTTTTAAAATCATATTCACAGAACACACAAATTTCACATACATCTACACAAACAGAAATTGTAACTTTAACAATAGAAAACGACGTTGACACCTTGGTTGAGAGTATTCCTAATATTGAAAACCAGGCTCAAGAAATAATCGATAAATTAAAGACAGCGTTAATCCAGTATTCTGGAATGGACCCCTCAGTAAGACCAAAACTGCCTAAACTTAGATACAGTCCTAAACTTACTCAGTTAATAGATCTATTTAACAATAAACTATTGAACGAATTTATATCAGAGGATATGCAACTAACAGACCTACATACCCTAGTATATTGCACAGCCTTGGTTATATCTGAAGAACTTGGTTACAAAGTAAAGGAATACGGGGGAAAGATAAAAAACATGTGTATTAAGAAACCATCGTGGCAAATAAGACTGGAAAAAGATATAAATAAATTAAGAGCAGACTGCGGCAGACTAACTCAATATATTAATAATAATAGATCAAATAAAATTATTAAAAGAGTTGAAGCAATTTTCAAGAGTAGAACAACACACACAAGACATGAAAATCAGAACAGAAAGCCTGAAGAATTTTTAGACACCCTCAAACAGACTCTAGCACTGAAAGTTCATCGACTCAGGAGATATAAGGCAATGCAAAAAAAGGGACAACATAATGTTTGAAACTAACGAAAAATTATTTTATAAAAACTTGCATAAATTAGAAACTAACATGATTGCTGAAGAAAACTTAGAATTACCAACACAAACGCAATTAGAAACATTTTGGTCTAACATTTGGGAAGAACAAATACACTACAATGACAAAGCTGATTGGATAGAGGAAGAAAAGAAAATGTGGAATACTATTGAAGAAATGGAGTTTAATGAAATAAAAGAGATTGATATCGCAGACATTACGAGAAAACTTCATAATTGGAAATCACCTGGTATAGACAAAATACATAACTTCTGGTATAAAAAATTAATATCATTACATAAAGCTTTAGCAAAAAATCTAACAGACGTTATATTAGGTAAACAGGATATACCTGAATTTATTGCAATAGGAATAACTTACATGCTACCAAAAACAAAATTTTCCTCAGAACCATCCAAATACAGGCCAATCACATGCTTAACAACGATATATAAAATTCTGACGTCAGCAATCGCAACTAAAATCAACGCACATATAGAACACCATAATATATTAGCAGAGGAACAGAAGGGATGCAGGCGGGGCCACATGGGATGCAAGGAACAATTAGTTATAGATTCTACTATCCATAAACATGCTAAAATAAAAAACAGAAATCTACACTGTACCTATATTGATTACCAGAAAGCCTTTGATAGTCTTCCACATTCTTGGTTATTAAAAATATTACAGATTTATAAAATAAACTCCAAAATAATAGACTTTTTACGTAACATAATGCCACTGTGGAAAACTACACTACAATTAAGCACTAATAAAAAAATAATTAAAACGCGACAGATAATTATCAAGAAAGGCATTTATCAAGGCGATTCATTGAGTCCATTGTTTTTGCTTAGCACTAAACCCCTATCTCACTTACTGCATCGTTGCCGAGTTGGATATTCTACAAAACACCGCCCAACAAACAATTATCTCACATCTCATATATGTTGACGATATAAAATTATATGCTAAAACAGATAAAGAAATGAAAAAGCTTTTAGAAGTCACTACAAATTTTAGTAAAGATATTAACATGAAATTTGGACTAGAAAAGTGTAAAACAGTACATATTATTAGAGGTAAGGTACAACTCGGCAACTACACAATCGATGATAACAATACAATTACAGCTTTAGAGCCAAACGAAGTATATAGGTATTTAGGGTATAACCAGTTAAAAGGTCTTGATCACACTTCGATAAAACAGCAGTTAATAACAGAGTATAGAAAACGTATAAACTCAATATTAAATCCCAACTTTCTAGCAAAAATCTTATAAAAGCCTTTAACACCTATGCTATTCCGATCTTAATATACTCTTTTGGCATTATAAGGTGGTCAAAAACTGATATAGAACTAATAGAAAGAACTACTCGCACCATACTTACGAAACATAACAACTTGCATTTAAATCTGCTATAGAAAGATAGTATTAAACGACAGAACGGAGGCAATATATAATAGATATAAATCACATGTGCAAAAACAAATAACAGGACTTTTAACTTTCGTTGAAAATCTAACACTAGTACTTTACACAAAGCAATCGTCCAAAATGACCAAAAGACATATATATATATATATATATATTGGAAGAAAAAACACTACATGAAGGCACCCCATGATCTAGAACAAACACATATAGACAAAACGGCATCGAATCAATGGCTGAAAATAGGCAATTTATTCCCAGAAACAGAAGGGTTCTTAATTGCAATACAAGATCAAATCATAAACACCAAAAATTACAGAAAATTTATTATTAAAGATCCAACCATATCTAGTGATAAGTGTCGCAAATGCCATATTCAGCCTGAAACAATTCAACATATAACAGGGGCATGTGTAAGTCTTACACAAACTGATTACACACACCGACATAATCAGATAGTCAACATGTGTGTAGCACAGAAACACAAGCTTATTGAAGACACAAACACTCCATATTATAAATATACACCACAAACCGTGCTGGAAAATTTAACATGTAAAGTATATTATGATCGAGCCATACTTACCGACAGGACCATCCATTATAATAGACCGGATATTACCCTACAAGACAAAATAAATAAAATAACTTACCTTATTGATATCGCAATTCCCAATACACACAATCTCCAAAAAACAATAGCTGAGAAGATTAACAAATACGCTGAACTTAAAGATGAAATCACAAGAATCTGGAAACAGGAAAAAGTTTACATAGTACCGATAGTCCTTTCATCTACAGGTGTCATTCCCAACCATTTACACCATAGTCTAAAACAAATAGGTCTACGAAAAAATCTCTACATCTCCCTACAAAACTGTTATATTAAATTTGCAGAATAGTTAGAAAATCTTAGATATAGATGAGGATGAAAATGACATACACAAACATAACCTTCCATTATACACACTGCACTTACTTGGTCACGTGTAAGTGTAGTATAAAAGGCTAAAAGCTGAGAAATAAGCAATTCAATGTAAATAATAATAAAATTTATTGCCATTCTTCACAAATTATAATTTTTTTTTTTTTTTTTTCTTGTCACTAATTTGGTACTTTGGATTGTTCTGTTATATTTTATTTATTTTTTTCTTTTATTCATTGTTTTTATACTTGTTTATTTTAGATTTTTTATTGTTTTCTTTTATTTTTTATGTAATATCTAGCGCGCGTGGTGCGCACATCAATATATATATTTGATAATGAAACGGTGCCCCGTGTAGGTGCAAACTGAAAATCAGCGCTGAACGAACATCAGTCCAGCAAAAGCTGAGTTTGTACCTATTGCCAGGCGCATACGATTAATGGAAAATATATTGATTAATTAATATATGTACATTATAATTTGTGAAGAATGGCAATAAATTTTATTATTATTATTATTATTATTATTAGGTAAAAGGTTTGTAATATGATTGTAATTAAAATAAAAATATTATTTGATGGGTAATTAGGAATATGTAAATAAACACAATATTTTAGTATAAAAAAGAATAGGGACAATTAAAAAGACGTGTCGTGCATACAATTGTTCGACTAATGATCAATTTTTAGCTAAAATCGAAGACCTAGATTTCCGGTGTCACTTTTCCGAAGCCAATGTTACACAATAAAGTCTTGCTTCCTTGAACAAAAAATAACTAAGACTAGAATAACTACATAGAAAATCCGAGCGGACCGCCACCTTTAATTTACCCCACACAGCTACTAAACAACGTGCTCGCTGAAGTGGAAAGGTGCTTGTCGTGATTTCAATTAAAAGGTACAATTTTCGCCCCTCTCTTGAAAATGTCGAGGATTTTAAACGTACCCGAAACCAATGACCGTGCATAAATGGAAGCAAAGGAGATATTTTTGCATGTTTTAATTAAAATCGATTTACAATCAACGAAATTAATGGCATAACATCTCTGTTCTGATTTTATTTTAAATACGAGTGTCCATATATGATATTGGTTAACGATATTATTGTTCAGAGTGAATACAGTAAACAATAAATTATACTATTCATATTTACTGTTATTTATACATGATTGGAGGTCTTAAACAGCTTTGGAAACTTTTACATTTGTAATATCAGTGGTACTAGAAACTTACATATATCTTTTCATGAAGGCAAAACTTTTATTTACAAATGTAGGATACAATATATCAAATATATTTACGACATAATACATATTATTTCTTAACTATATACAAAATAAGGCATGGAATAGAATTATACTCAATTCAGATTGGCATTGTGAGCTTCAGAGTGGATAATATTATATTTCTGTAATGGAGACAATCTTTTTTTCTAACATAGAGTACAGAATTAAAATCAAGTTAGAATTACGTTCAGATTCTGTGCTAAAAACAAAAGACTTACGGAGTGTAATAGTAGGCAGAATGCTTTGCGTAATTTCTTTTTATACCACGACAAACAAACAAACAAACAAGCATACAGCTCGTCTGATGGTAAACGGTTACTGTAGCTTATGGACGTCTGCATTACGATGAGAGGCGCGTGCGCGTTGCCGACCCTATGAGAACCAGGATTCGATTCCTGTTCTGCCTAATAAAGAGAACGTATTTTTCTGAATTTGTTTAGGTTAATGTGTTCTAGGTTATGCTACCAGATGTGGGTTGCCTGGTTCCTCATAGAGTATCCCAGATAAGATTTCATAATGCCCATATATTTCACATACCGCTTCTTAACTGTTAGTTTATGTAGTAACTCGTCACCTGCACTTTTGTTCTGAGAGGAATACCGGGGAGTTTTTAATGGCTAAAAATCCCACAGTACCCATTCGTCGTCCCGCCGGCGGATGATTCTCTGTCTGAAGATTTTCCCATCGTTAAAAAAAATGAAGGTTAGACTACTATTTATCAGGCATTTGAATGTACATGACTTATAAATTATTTACACTCACATATTCATACCAGTGTTTTTTGTCGAGCTAATATATCTTTGGCAATTGCTTTATTATGCTGCAACAATAGCTTGATTTATAACACGCTATCATATAGTATCTCAATTCTCTCACAGACTGTATGAAATTTCGCACGTACCCACTCATAAAATCTAACCAACTAACTCATATGAGGGAACTAACGTTTTATTAAATTTATTCTCAAGATATAAGTGTTATATATTATTGTCATTATTGTGTATAATATAGTATGTTTTATATATTTGTTATTTATTTTACCAGAGGGAGACTTTGCACAAAAGTCGTTTGCTTGGGCACCTCTGTTCCATTCGTGTTTCTACTGTGAAAGCAGTTGTGCTTGCATGGCTGTGTATCAGTTTAAAGGGATATGGCAGTGAATTTACAGGGTATAGGGGAATAACACCTGAGTCCTCAGGAATGGTAACGCATAGGGGGTATAATGGGCGAAACAGTATACTCTGTTATGTCTATGGTACGGAACATGTCTATAAGCAACGGCTACTACTTTCCATAAGGTGGGTCAGCTTGTTTGCCATTCTAAACTTAGAATGACAAGTGTATAAGAAAAGTTTAGTATTATTTATTCGTTTATATATGTAATTTTAGTATGTATGTATATCAATAATTAGTAGTACCGCATTCGAGTATTCTGACACTTGCCTATGGTTGACTGGGAGAGAATGCTTTTAGCATTAAGTCCGTCATGTACACATATATGTACTAATGAATAAATAAGTAAATATTTTAAAAATTACGTCTTACAAGTACTCAAGTATTAATACTCAGTTATTTTAATACAAAAATAGATCCATCGTATCGTAATGTAGTTTATGGATGAAAAAAAAAAATATTACGTTTTGTGTCTTGTACTATCTGTGAGTTCTGATCTGAGCAACACCAAAAACTGTATGATAATTTGTAATTTCATATATTAAAGACTATTTTGCGTCGGTAACAATAGAGATTAATTTAAGACACAGCATTTGACGCATCCCTTGCTATATAAACAATCTTGCTATATAGACAAATCATTGAAGACAGCGCAAGTTTCGGCAAAAGTAATTTCATTGGGCGATCATTAGTCAATGTTAATGTTCGAACGAAAACGAAATCGCACTGGAGAGGGCAAGCAAAAACGCCACATAATAAAAAAATTAAACCTTAATGATTGTATACTGAAATTTGTGTAGTGTCTATCGACTAATCTATGTTTGTATGGAGCATTACATATTTATTTTAAAATATTATATTTACGAGTATACATGCAACGTGGAATAGGAAAAGAACTGATTAATAATATTTTATTGTTTTTTTTTATACAACTTAGAATGGTAAACAAGCTGACGGCCCACCTGATGGAAAGTGGTAACCGTCGCCTATAGACATGAGCAGTACGGTTCACGGTAGAAACACGAATGGGACAGAGGTACCCAAGCAAACGACTATTGTACAATGTCTCCCTCTGGTAAATCACTGCAAATGTTCACAATCAGGTGGGACGTATGCTTAATTGCTACTGCAGTGGCATAAAAAAAATATTTGTATTTCTAACGTATTATGTATAATTATTTCAGTATGTTGGTATATTAATTTTGTCACATATTTTTCACCACATCTGCCCTTCATACGCTTTCTCTTTTTAACCTAATGGTTAGCTGGTAGAGAATGCCATACGGCATTAAGCTCGCCACTTGTACAAAGTTTTATTGTGCAATAAAGAATAAATACATAAACAAATAAATATACCAATCAGTAAGTACATCTTTTCAGATGAAAAATATTTTTCCAGATCGCTTTACAACTGAGGGAGTTATGAGGTAATAACCATAAAAATACAGCTGGTTATGGTCTTCTAAATTTCTTTTTGAAGTCGGTTAAAAAGAGCTCTATAATCAGTCTATAAGTCTATTTTAATAAAGCTTATTTCTATTCTATTCTGTTCTGTTCTAGTCTAGTCTTGCTTGTCCTAGTCTTTTTCTGTTCTAATCAAATGCAAAAGAAAATTAAAATTCACGGACAATATAGAATTTATTGGCCTGTTCATACCAATACAAGTCCAAGCGACATGGGGAAAAGGGATTGTTAGCAATGGAGTTTGACAGCCCCATTGCTAGCAATATGCCTTATTAGGTCGGCCTCCACGTAGTTTCCCCTGGAAACCATCGTGAACAATTCTTGTTTAATTCGTCATGATGAGCTAACTGACCTGCTTCATCCTCACCTATTATCCTTCACTGGTGCCCCGCCGGTATATACCGATAGCACGGGTGGGGTTACCATTCCATTATCGTACATTAACAATAAAAAAAGTCCGGGGGGAAAGTGATTGTTAGTAATGGAGACTGAGAATCCCATTGCTAGCAATATACCCAACCAGGTCGACCTCCTCGCGGTTCCCCCTGGAAACTATCATGATTAATTCCAGATGAATTCATCATGATGGGCTAACTCCCTGTTTTCATCCTCATCGATTACCACTCACTGGTGCCCCGCCAGCGTATCCCGTTAGCGCAGGCGGGATTACCATTCCATTTTCATCCAATAAAAAAAAAAACAAAAAAGTCCAAGCGACATACCGTCACAAATATAGCGGCTCGCCAATACTACCCTACGAATTTTTAATATTCTATTATGCGCGGTTAAAAAGACACTGTTGCGTGATTCCTTGAGAGAAACACTATTTACCTTTTATTTATTTATTTATAAAAGACACACCAACAATATGTTCACAATAATTAAACAGTCCATGTACAATGTTATAAGTAAGTAAATAATGAAAAAGG